ACTTTAAGCTAAATCCCAATATATAGGAGGGTCCTGAAAACTTTAAATTAAATCCCATTATCCAGGAGGGTCCTGAAACTTTAAACTAAATCCCATTATCCGGGAGGGTCCTAAAATATTAAACTACATCCCATTATCCAGGAGGGTCCTGACACTTTCGACTAAATCCCATTATCTAGGAGGGTCCTGAAAACTTTATCTAAATCCCTTTATCCAGGAGGGTCCTGAAACTTTAAACTACATCCCACTATCCATGAGGGTCCTAAAACTTTAACTAAATAAGACTATCTCATTTATTCATTTTTCCTTATGCTCCTGAACAAAAAATGTTGCCTATGTTGTGAATCATACCTCTATCTCGCTTGACTTGGCATAGTTGAAAGATTGATCAAAAGGTATTTTTTTGGACCATAGTGCAGGCTTTTGGACGGGGTTAGAAGGAAAAAGCAACATGCAAGTTCAAAAACAGTTTTAAATAATAGGGTTCAAAATTACAACCTTTGTAATCAGATCTTTCGCAACACCACAACTTCTGCCCCAGTTTCTTTGATTCTGGGAATTTTGGATTTTTATTTTAATGGGACCGAACCATGAGGTTGCCTACGTATTCTTAAAAGGAATCAGGTCGAACGTAGTTCATGAAATAGGAGTTAATTTGTTTTTTTTTTGTTTTTTTTCTTTTTTTTTGTTTTTTTTCTTTTTTTTTTCTTTCTTTTGCTTTACTTTTCCTCATTTTTTTCATTTCTCTTTTTCTTCTTTTTTTCATATTCTTTTTCTTTTTCTTTATTCTTAAAATCTACATTCGATTACATAAGAGGGGTATGAAAGAAAATAAATAAGGCTCAAAAGGGTGACAAAGGATAAAAGTGTTTAGATAGCAGAATAAAATGTCTTCGTCATTCCAATCTTTAAAACATGCCAAATACAAATAACTCAATTGAAGACAAACCAAAGAAATCATACATAATATCTCTTGACTGCATTAGAATTGACATCCATGTCTGCACATTTACCTTCTATATCGGTTAAATACAAAGCACCATTGGGAAACAGTCTCGTTACAATGAACGACCCCTGCCTAATTGGGGCAAACTTGCCTTTAGCTTCAGCTTGATGTGGAAGAATGCATTTTAACACTGACTGATCTACCTTAAAATGTTTGAGAGACATTTCTCTGCTGTATGCTCTTATCATCCTCTTGATTTCCTAGACTAACTGCCTCAGTTTCACTCAATTCAAGCTTCAGGTTATCTCAGAAAGCAAGAATCTTTATTTGTTTCCTCAAACACATCTTTTATCATATTCAAAACTATGTTTCATTATTCCATGATTAAATTGGCTTTCAAGATCTGGATAAAAACTCTAAATGCATGGCATGTCACTAGAACTGGCCTGAAGAGACCTATATACAAGAAAGGAACTAAATGAAGACTGCAAATAACAGAAAAAGAAAATCTCATTTGACCAAAGGATGGAAGGGTTTGAACAGAGGAATAAAATCTATATTAAAGCCCTGAAACAATCCTCGATGAAAGACTTAGAGACGCAAAACTAACTAGCAAGACTCCTAGAAACAGGCAAAAACGGATGGAAGGGTTTGAATCAACATAACAAGCAAGATAAAATCTGGGCTACAACCATGAAATAACCAGATAGCAGAAAAAATGTCAAAATAAACTGCCAAGACCCGTTCCTGATGAGGAAATGAGGTGCTTTCTAATTACCAAAATCGAGATCTTAGCCACTGAGTTGCACATCAAAATTACTAGGACCTTCACCAACTCCAATCTCATTGTCTTTACCACATGTCTCATTGACTCCTTTGAATAAACCTTCCTCACACTAACTGTTGAATTACAAACTAACCCCCTAAGGGATCCTGCCGCAAATGACTCACTAAAGAACTTGGAAGAACATGCACATTCGTTGTCATTGCAAACCATCCCAACAATATATGCGTACTCATGTACCTGTAGAGGATTATGTGTGACACTTGGGTATTACTGCCTTGGACCACAATTATCACTTCGTGAATCATTCTTTCTATCCCCCTTTTCAAAGCACGAAAATCTTCAATGCTATACCGTTGGACATTAGAGTGGTACATGCACCGTACAGTAGGATCAAAACTTTTTGCATATGGGTCCAGAGTGTAGCTGAGGAGCAGCTCAATCAAGCTAGAATGTTTTAACCTTTCAAACAAATTTGTGTAGGATTCCCGAAATGGTGTGAAATTATCTTTCTGCCTTTGTTTCCCCCATGCCTATGTTTTTTAGGGTTATAGGGTGCCTGAAAATGTTGTGAAGGCAAATGAGAATTTTGGGATGCTGGTTCTTGCCCTAGGGAGTGACCCAGTGGTTGGACAGATGGTTGTACGTTGTTCAGAGGATAATATTGGGGTGGATTATATGGAGCTCAGGGATATTTATGGGGCCGGCATTGAAGCTGAAAGTGTCTAACAAGAATGCTCACAGGATCTTGTCATTGGCGGGGCTCAGCAACATTTATCCTATTAATTGGAGGACTGACCCGAGCAACTTGTTCGTTCCATCTGAGCCAAAATTCCCTAAAACTTTTCTCGATTTTCTCTTCCGTCTGAGATAGGAAGGAGCGGTCTGGGATAATGTCTGCATTGTACTGATAGTGCCGAACAAAATCTTGAGTCATGTCACCCCATGTATGCCACTTACTGACATCTTGACGAGTATGTCATTCCAAGGCTGCCCCAGTCAGGCTCTCACTGAAATACGCCATCAGCAACTCATCTTTCTTGCCAACACCTCTCATTTCGCTGTAATAACACTACAGATGGGCTATTGGATTTCCATGCCCTTCATACAAGTTAAACTTTGGTATTTTAAGCACCACGGGCAAGTAAATGTCATGGAATATACATAGATCCTTTAAGGCAATACTCTTCTGACCTGCCAACTCTTGCATGTTTTTCAATTATTGTTCTAAGCTTTTCACTTTTTGTGTCATTTCTTCATGTTCCATCTTTTGGTCAATTTCCCATGCTTTGCAAGAAGATCAAATAGGTACGTGTGGTATTTAAGAGAGTGGTATTTTTCTTGCTGGGTAGCAAATTGTGACTCATGAGTTTTCTTCTACACCATTTGTAGTTGTGGGATGGTGAAGACAGGCATAACAGTAGTGGTTATCTGATTGGTTGTCAATGGCACACTTTGGGAGTGCATAACAGAAGTTCCAACTGTAGTCATACAGTTGGGATAAAGACTAAGCCGAGGTGAATAGAATTGATCAGACAATGAGACCAGAATGACAGTAGTCGATATGGGTAAGAGCTCTGAGAAACCATGAATAGAAAAGGGCGATCCTTGACCATTGGCCAATTCTTGACACAATTTGGTCATTTTCTGTTTCAGCTTGTGTACCTCTTCTTTCAAAATAGACTCAGATTCCACCATCTCTTTTGGTGGGTCAACAACACTTAGGTCTAATTCTTTGCTAGCCATGATTGCCTTGTGTTTAGACCTGGTGTTATATGGGTGGTTTTCCAGAATGCCAAACAAACTAACCACCTTCCTGAACTCAATAACAACAGCAAACTTGTTAGTGTTTAAGAGTTTAGCAGTTAGGCAGCCGCACATTTAGGATGTAACACACCTGAACAGTTAAATGCTTCTATCATGTATTTGAATGGTTTCATGCTTCATCCCGGCTTTAACTAACTCTTCTCACTTTGTACTTTTCTTTTCTTTCACTCCTGCTTTCCTTTAGTCACTATTGATTTTCTCACTTGGTTCGTGTCGCTCCCTTTTTATTTTTGCACTCTCTTTTGTTCTCTCGTTCTGCCATTCTTTCTTCCACTTAGTTTTTCTCTTTTTCATTTTATGGTTATAATAGAATCCTATGGCGATTGCCTATGTATCATGATGCCGCATGAATCAGATCATTACGTAGTTCAGGGGATGAATGCGAAATAAAAGAAAAAAAAATATTTTTTTGGTTTTCAAATTTTCATTAAATAAAAACTTCCGATTTTCCTCTATTACAACGACTTTGTCATACAGACTTAAGAACTGAAAAACCAAAACAGACTCAAAGTGGACTAACAAACTCTAAAAGAAACTGAAATACATACTCGAAAAGAGAATCAAGAATTCATAAGTGCCTCCACTGCTACTCCAGGGACCCGTGAGACATTAGTAGGTCTCGCTACGGGCCTGCGTGTCATATCTTCTTGGAGGTGATATAGGTCGTCCATTATCTGGCGGACGAAAATCATCACTGCAGTGAAGAACATGGACCTAGTCATATCCCTGCATTCATTGCACTTCATCACAATATAGTCAGCAATTCTTCTAATCCTCTCTTTGGTGACGCCCTTCTCTTGGAGCAAGCATCCAATTTGCTGAGATCTGGCCACCAAAACCTATGTGGCCATATGGTTTTGCTCTTGCAATTGCTACATGTCCTCTTCTAGCATTACAGGAAAATGGCCTATGGCAACACCGATAAAACCATTGCCAAAAATAGAAAAATTGTTGCAATATTCCTATTGCGACGGATTGGGCTCCGTTGCAAGATAAGGCGTTGCAATTGATCTATTGCAACGGTTTTTTGCAACAGTTTCGGAGCCGTGGTCATAGCTGTATCTATCGCAACGGTCTTACAGTAGCCTAATAGAACGATTATTAAAAGCTATCATAACAATTATGAACCGTTGCAATACGACTATTGTAACGGTGCAAAAGCAATGGAATAGACCTACTGGAACAGTTTGCTGATATAGTTTAGCTTATTTATTGCAATGATTATTATTATTATCTGTTGCAATGGTCAATACAGTCTTGTGTAACAGTTATTTCAGCTATTGCAACGATTTTTCGAGCTATTACAACATTTATTACCAACTATTGCAATAATTTTTACGAGCTATTGTAATGGAGTAAATTATAATAAGCTAGAATTTATACAAACCATGAAAGGATACTATATTCATCCACAAAATCATCATAAAAAATATCCAACAAGTATTATCCAAATATAAGAGAATATTGACTAACAATTCAAGAGTTAGATTGCATATAAGTTTGCAAAATATTCAAAAATAAGTACAATCCCAAAACATCTGAAGGTATTGATCAACCAATACTCTTTAAGTAAGGTCTTCACTGCTTTCATCTCCCATTTGTTCATTTTCTTCACCTACAAATTCAAAAGACATAACAATATTTAGAGGGTAAGGAAAAAAATAAGCATATTCAACCAGTACTTCAACAAGTAAGAAAATTGAGGATATCTTCAACCAACACTTCATCTATTTACTACTGTAACTACTTTTAGATGACTAGTTTTTGAAGTACAAAATTTATAAGATCACGTCAATAATAATAGTAAATGTGTGTGTGTAAGCACCGAGACCATTGTAAGTGCCAACAGTCCCATCATATTGTTGCCATTGTAAGCGCGAAGGTCATGAACATACAAGGTGTTAATGACGAGGTCGAGGAAGATGTTCAACCTGTAGTAAAATTACAAGGTGATGCGAGGGATGTTTTGAATGCAAAGAAACAATAAAATTTAGAGCTTGTTAAATCTACGGGAGCTTGGTTGATGTTGGAACAGGCAGAGCTTCACATGTATTGGAGGCAGGTTCAACAAAGGAGAAGGACAATCCTAATCCTAGTTTAACTAGACTGTTGATGCTGAGCAAATTGCTCTAGCTGGTGCCGTTGATTGTGGTGCAGTTTAGAATCGAGCTACTACAGGTAGTAATCAACAAGAAACTGATGAATCAAGGAATTAGGAGTGATATAGATGCTCTAGAAACTGTGCAGGTAAAGCTGGATCAATAGAAAACTCTTTGGAAGTCTAAACTTCCTGGTGATATCCATGTCGCTACTGCTTTAGCGAGGATTTACCGGGTTGTGGGTTCTGCTTTACAGAATAAACTACTGTGGATAATATTGGTGCCCAAGGTGAGGGTGCTACTATGTGACTGATGGAGAGGTGAATGTACATAAAGCCTATACTACAACTGTTGAACAAAAGGAGCAGGACTTGGCTACTGGGGGATCAAATTATCAAGCTGCTACTTTGTTAGCAACTGGTAAATCTGGTGAGCATGTGCCTACCAATATTGCTGCTTTGGAGGTGAATCAAATACACTTAACAATGCACAAGTTGAAGCCGGGAAATTCTGCAACTTTAAGGAAATAGTCTACGGTGCAGGCTAGAATTGCGAGGCAACAGGAAGGAAATAAGTTGGACAGGAATGTGATCAAATGGCAGCAGCTAAACATGGTATTCATCTCACTACTGATCAGCCCACTACTGGTGCACAAACAACTCTTTTGAAGGGTGGAAGTGAGCAGGTTGTGCACAAGGAAGATACACAAGCAGCTGCTGAAAAACCAGCAACTCCTATAGCTACTGCTGTGCAACAGGTAGGTGTGGAACAAAGAGCATGACAAGTTCTTTTCCAGGCAAATCTGGAGCAGGTTGTGCATAAGGAATATACACAAATAGCTACTAAAAAACTAGCAGCTCCTATAGCTATTGCTGTGCAATAGGTAGGTGTGGAAGAAAGAGCTGGACAAGTGCTTTTCGAAGGAAATCTGGACAGTTATGAGTCAGAATGCATCACCAGGCGCAAAGAAAAAAATAACAAAATTCAACTATTTCAGCAGGTCGACAAAAAGCTCCAATGACAGTAGTTAATCGAGCTCATACACTTAGAGCACCCATCACTTTAAATTCATGATTAATTAAAAAAATACAAATTTCTAACTGTACAATCTAAAAATTAGAAGCATAAATTATAGGATTGCGAGGATTCTAACCTTGATTGTTGCTACCAAGAGATGGTCGATGAATTAGGTGAATAGTTGCTGCTTGTGTTGAGGAAGCTTCACCCAATGGACGAGAATACAATGTTGCTAAAATATTAGCATCAATTGGTAATCCAGAACATTGAACTTTTTCTTTGATATCTTTTACAATTTCTTGTCTCATCATTGTCTTTTGTTCCTCATATTGTTCCTTCTGTTCCTCAATTTTTTCCTCCAATCTTATAATCCTCTCTTCCATCTTTTGCATGTGATCATTTATTGTATTTGAAGAGGGTTCAAAATGTCCCACTTTCCCTTTCAAAGACTTTTTTGTAACCCCCCGTCCATACAATCTCAAACGTCCGGGATATTCGGGTCCCATGATTGATGCAAATATATTAATTGACTCATCACCATTTTCACTTTGTTGTGTTTCAATACTCTCCATTTCAGCCTATTATACAAATAAAAAGAGAGAGAATTCCAGTAAAGAAAAAGTCAATATGAACATATTTTTCATCCAAACAAAATAGAAACATAAATAATTCACACAATTTTTCTAGTTGTATCTTCATTTGATTCCTTGTATGTTCGACCGGGTTTTCTTTGTCTTGTAACAACAAAAATATCCTTAAGTGATAGTGGATCAGAAGTTTCTTTCTCTTTTTCCTGGACACATTAAAAGTAGTATAAAATATCTTCTTAAAAATGATAACAAGTTCATATTTAATGATAAATAAGAGCAGATACCAAATCATTGCGGACTATAGCAAAGCTTTTTTTGCCAGTAGTGTGTGGATCCTTTAACTTTTTCCGATTCTCAATATTAGTTGCTGACATTTTCTGCAAGTAAAATAATAAATTTCAATTCGAAATTGTCATAAAAGGAAAATAATTGTTTTTCCTTCATGAATATTTCTTGACAAAGGTTAACATAAATGAATTTTTTTCTCAAAAACATACCTTTTGTTTGCCAGAGTTCCAATATTTGAGAAGTTCCTTAAATTGTTATGCTGGAATATTTTCAGGCTTTTTTTCAATTCGAATTTCATCATTATGATATGCTTTAAAGTGATCTTTTTTTAATTGATTCTTATACCTTCTCCAAGCACCTTGAATTGCATCCAGAGTCCACTTTTTTGCAATTTCAGAAATATTATATTTTTCCTACAAATTGTTTCAATGGGTTAGTGCAAAAATATTAAGCATGTTCAACCAAAAATAAAATTAAGAACTGAGAACCTTTGTATATTTCCAAAAATAATCTTTTGTATCAATTTTCCTCCAATCAAATATATCAAAAGGACAAAAGGTCGAATTCCTTACCAATGTACCGAGGAAGCTGCCAAACTCCATCACAACATCTTTAGTAGGACCAACAAATTGACCAAACTCATTGACCACAATTAACTTACGTTCACTCCTTCTATGTACACTTAGCATCCTTGTTTTACCTCTTTTTCTTTTTTTTTAGTATAAGATCCTACAATAATACAAATCAAAAGTATCCTCCTATTTAGTAAAATAGATATAGGATGTCAATACTTTAATGTAAAATCTAAATTTACTTACCCTGTTCATCTACTATTGGAGTATTAGCATCCAATTGCACTTCTTGCTCTACTGATTGTGTTGTAGGGGTGGCTGAATTACATTGTAAATGGGCTCCTAGCCTCTGATGTTGTGGCATTGGTAGCTGATGTTCTTTCATTAAATTATTCAGAACCTGACGCTCTTCATTTAACCGTATAGAGCTAGCTGGAATATTCGTTTTTCTGGTCCGCATCAACCTTTTCTGATTTTCCAAAGATGTAAGTGTTCCAACTTTAACGAATGTCGAGATTTTCACTTTTTTCTTTTGTCTTGTCCTTTCTTGAATCATGACTACAATTTTGAAGTAAACAAAGATATTAGTATCAGTGGTAAAGAGGGAATGAAAATTATCAAGAGCAGAACTATCTTTGAGATGATGACACCATAGAAATCAGAAGTTCAGAAGTTTATTTTATCTTTGAAATGAAGATATTAAAGTATTTGATGGTGTTCCAGCAAATCATTTTTTGTTTCAAATAGTTTATACTATTGTGATCAGATTTCAAAAAAGGGAAAACTACTCTTACCTCCAATCTTTCTCAGCTATACCAACAAATTCAGGGACGACAATATTCTCTTCACGTAACTAATTTGTAACAACCTGAAAAAAAAGGTAAGAAAGCATAAGAAGTTATTACGATGGTCTAAGAGAGGAGCGGAGACATGAGGACCAAGGCAACCAATGACAAGTAAAGACACCAGCATACATTTCCAATAACATATCACACTTTTCAGAATTTAATCATGATTGACATGGAAAAATCAATTAATTTACAATCCACAAAACTTGAATTACAGAATAACCAAAAAAAGAGAAATGGTACAAAGAAGAAAAGAAGAAAATACAAAAGATTAATCTTCTAATGTTACCATATTCAATAATTAGGAACCATCCAATCCCAATCAGTGTCATCAAAGTCATCTTCCTCTTCTGATGTTTCTATATCTTGTGAATGTTGTGCATGAAATGGCATATCAACAACATCACCAGGTACATCTTCTCTCGACCATACGACGTCACCGTCGGGTAATCTATTTGATGAACCAATGTCGTCGTCGAGCTCACTCCAAAATGTATCTCCAATATTTGGACAATTTTCTTCCTCCAAATCATACAAATCAACAGGGATTTTGGTCCTTGCATAATAAATATTTTCCTCATTTGGATCCTCCACATAAAAAACTTGATGCACTTGAGATGCCAATACAAAAGGGTCATCGGTACTGCATAATCTGTTGAAATTCACTCGAGTTAACCCATATCCATCTATTTCATTATGAAACCAATCACATCTAAACAATACAACACTAAACAACCCCAATAATCAATCTCAATAATATCCTCAATAGCTCCATAATAGGTAATCTCTCAATCGATAGGATTTTGGTCCCTAGCACTAGCAAAACTATCGGTTGTTGCTGATAAAGTCACACCATAGTTTTGAGTCTTTAATCGGGTATCTGATTCCATCGTATGAAATTGGTATACATTGATGAAATATCCAGTATATCTTTTTGCCACCATATTAGGCCCTTTAGCTAGCCATCGTAAATGATTTGGCACTTCAATAGTTTTAACTTTCTCTTTAAACCAATTACTAAATTCTTGTCTGTGATTTCGTGCCTATACCCATGCATTTGATATAGTATGATTATCAATTAAACTCTTATGTTCCATGCAAGCATGAAATGTTTCAAATTAAATTTTATGAATGACGTTTAAAATATTTGTATCACATATACGTAAATTAATAAAGTTTAACATACAAGTGATAATTAAATATCTTATCTTACTTGATAAAGTTCTCCACCTGTTCATCTCTAGTATTGAACAGAACATATCGATGTACTTCAAAACATAACTGTAAATCAATAGAAAAAGCCTTGCCTTTCCTTTTCTTCTTACTTCCAATTGGATGGCCTATATTAGGGAATATAGGTGACAAATTATCTCCCTCTGTTTCAATTACCTCATCATCCTCGTATTGGTACCTACTTAATCTTGATTTTACCCCATCGTGTAGGTATCTCAAATAAAAGTTCAAGCATTCTTCGGCTAAAAATCCCTCCGCAATTGATGATTCCGGATGAGCCCGATTACGAACAAATGCCTTATACTTACACATGTTTCTCTCTGTGGGATACATCCAACGAAGATGCGCCAGACCACCAAGCTTTATCTCATTTACTAAATGAATGGGAAAATGTACCATTATATCAAAAAAGGTTGGAGGAAAAATCTTTTCAATGTCACATTCAATTTCATTGATTTCTAACTGCATTGTATCAATATCTCTTCGCCGTATAACTTTGCTACATATGGCTCTAAAGAAGTTCCCCAACCTAATTAAGGCCAAAGAAACATTCTTGGGCAACATTTTTCTAATGACAACCTGGAGCAAGTAATGCATTATAAATGAGCATCATGACTCTTGTACCCTGATATTTTCATCTCATCCACTTGCACACATCGTGATATATTTGAGGCACATTCTTTTGGTAATTTGGCATTTTTTAAAACACCACAAAACAACTTCTTCTCTTCTATATTCATGGAGAAACAAACTTTAGCCAAATTAACTTTTCCATTGTTATCTTTTATTGGTTGAAGATCCTTCCGTATTCCCATCTCTTGCAAGTCATATTGAGAATTTACACGATCTTTTGTTTTTCCAGGTATATCCAATAAAGTCCCAAGTAAACTGTCACAAATATTTTTCTCGATGTTCATCACATCAAGATTGTGTCGCAATTTATTATGTGCCCAATATGGCAATTTAAAAAAAAAAGATTTCTTCTTCCACGGACTCCCACTATCTTGACGCCCCTTCTTTTGGTCCTTTCCAAACATAATATTGAATTCACGAAGCTCTTCCAAAGCTTCTAAACCCGGTAATGGAGCAGGTGTTGTTCTATGATTCTCCTTACCATCAAATGATTTCTAATCTCTTCGAGATGGATGATCAGGAGGCAAAATTCCCGATGACCCATGTAACATATCTTATGACTATCTTTGAGATATTGAGAACATGTGTTATGATTACAAGTTGGGCATGCCAATCTCCCCTTGGTGATCCATCCAGAAAGCATTGCTAGTGCTGGAAAATCACTAACAACCCACAATAAGGCTGCACACATTTGAAATGTTTCGTTAGAATCAGCATCATATGTTTCCATCCTGATTTCCCGTAGTTCCTTCAATTCAGCAATTAGTGGTTGTAGGTACACATCTATATCCTTTCCTGGAGATGATGGACCAGGAATGATCATAGACAATATTATATACTCCGACTTCATGCAAATCCATGGTGATAAATTATATTTCATTAACATAACAGGTCACGTACTATGGGAAATGCTCATGGTTCGAAATGGGTTGAAACCATCACTTGAAAGACCCAATCTAACATTACGAGGATCTCTAGCGAAGTCTTCATGCAAGGAATCAAAATCTTTCCAAGCTTCACCATCAGCAGGATGTCTTAAATTTTCATCATTGGGACGTTCAGTAGCATGCCATCTCATAGCTGCAGCTGTTTCAGAACACATGAATATCCTCTTAAGCCTAAGTTTTAAGGGAAAGTATCTTAAAACCTTTGCAGGGACTTCAGAGTTTGCATTAGTCAATGGATTAATAATATTCTTCCATCTCGAAGACCCACACACAGAACAATTCTCCGCCTTCTCGTTGTCATTCCAAAGTATCATGCAATCCTTAGGACATGCATGTATTTTTTCATAATGAAGACTCAAATCTTTTATCACATTTTTCGCCTTATAAAGAGACTTGGGTAACTGAGCAAATGGGAATGCCTCTTTCAGTAAGTCTAGAATATATGTGAAGGCCACATTACTCAACCCATGAATTCACTTTAACAAGTACAACCGAATGGTATAACTCAATTTAGAGAAATTCTCACACCTCGGATATAACTCTTGTTTCCCTTACTCCACTAATTTGAAAAATCTCTTTGCATCTTCAGATGGTCCCTCTTTCACTCCATCATTGTGTCTGAAGTCACCCTCAACATTTCTAAAAGTATCATGAAATAGTCCATCAATATCATCATGCATATCAGAACCTTCATCATCACTGCTTCGATGTGGATTATTTCTCGAAAACCCTTCCCCATGAAAAATCCATTTGGTGTATCCTTGAACAAACCCATAAGCAACCAGATGATCCTCCACCACATTTCTATAATGCCAACTACAATTAGCGCACATTTTACAAGGACATAATATTTCATTTCCTTGGGAAGCTCGTTCACATGCCTTATCAAGAAAATTATTCACTCCGCAGATATACTCATCAGTGGATCTTCGAAGACCCATCCAACTTTTATCTCCATTACTCATTGAATATCCTATGGGACACAAAAGTAAATCAACAATTAATCCCTGTTCTAGTAAGACACTTGTAGTATTCAAATATGTTGTTGTATCACCAAAGGTAATACATGCACCTTGATTCATATCCAACTCCCCGATATTAGCACTATTTATTCAGTTATCCATTTAATAATTGCTTCCCACTTTTCCAAACTAATTGTAAATATTTATTGCAAATTTGGAAGCCACTAGAAAAGAAAAAACAGAAAGGTTATAAAGTTGATTATTGATCAACCACACCTAAGCTTCTCAAGACATGAGGGAGAAAAGATCATGTTTTAGGTTTCAATTTTACAAATAGAAATATACTGGTAATTTTGGGGACATATACTCGACCACAACATCTAAAAGAAACCTTTCAGTAGGAAGATTTTATAAAAATTGCCAAACAACTTATAAAAATAAAACAATTGTCCCTCATTTCTATATACAAACAACAATAATTCATGCACCTTTTACAATCAACTTAATGCAAGTACCATATAAAAACTACAACATTTTCACATGTTTTTTACCAACAAAGTAAGACAATTTACGAAGTACGAATTATACCTTTCACCAATAATTTGACATATCCAAACTAGTAAGCCACAAAATATATCAAGGAAAACATATGAGAATTTTCAAGAATAAGAAATAAGATCCATGTAGATAACGTCAAGTTACCTGAATTGATAGCGACTTCTCTAAGTTTAGAACCTGAAAAGCCAATTCGGATGATAAGAAACTAGTTGTAGTAAAAGTTAGTCTGCTTCTTTTTTCTTTTACTAAATTTCCAACAAAACTCAAAGCAAAATTCCTACAAATAGATTTTAATAAACGCAGATGCTTACCACCCCACCAAACAAAAAGTGAGCTAGCTAAATAACAGAAGCTCGTGCTTGCAAACTTGGCATAAAAGAAAAGAGAAGTACACGACCATTTGCTACAACTTTGCTATAGATGATGGTATTTGCAAAAGCACACATCTAGATGATACTCCAAAGACCAATGCTAAACTGAATATCTGGATGCAATGGAAAAAAGACCATATTTGGGACCATTATGTATGTGAAGATTATGCATTTTTCCAAATTGTTAAAATGGATCCTTTGCACAGTCTTATAAAATTACATTATGCAGCAAATAACACTACTCAGTACTCAGCAGTAGACAAGCATGTTAGAAAATTTCGTCCAAGAAGGGAGACTAATAGCAATTTAGCCATAAAATAAAATTTAGGCCTTTCATGTCTCAATTATAGAAGGAAATAGAACATTAGGATTTTCAATTTTAGGTAGTAATTAGGCATGTCAAAGTTATTGGAAGGATATATGTCAGAATTAGGCGTGTCCCATGTCAATGAAGTAGATGCACTAGTGTTTGTATATTTGTTGGAAATATACATGAGAGCTTGCACAATTGTCCAGGTTGTGAGAGCTTAAGGAATTTCAAGACCATTAGTGATATGAATGAATGACAAATGTATTTCTTACGTGAGAGCTTGCACAATTTACCATTACTCCTAAATAGAACGGTTGAACGACATAATAAAATGTTTCTGTTGGTTGTTCTTGTCAAGTATCAGAAATCCTATTTCACACCACCAACATTCTAAAATCTCTAAATTGGTTTTGGTTATATACTTCACTGTGACTCTTGGAGAATTTGTAAGATTTCAGTGTGTTTAAACATTTACTTCTGTAATTCTATGCTATGCTTTCATTAATTAAATCTCCATCAATTCAAACAAAAAAAAAAACAGATTAAAAGAAAAACTAAGAGATTGAACAACTGCAAAAGGCAGAACAATTGCAAAGATGAAACCAAAGCAGACAATTCCACAAACTGAACCATCAGTTTCTCATTCTCAACATACCCCTCAACAACCATTTTAGAACACAAGAGCAAAACCATTAACAAACCAACCAAAAAAGTGAAATCTCAAGATATAAACAACAATTTTCTCTAACTCTCAAGCTTTTGAATTTCTCTATTCAAGTTTTTGAACTTTGTCGACCTCGACGATGGAGCTTCGAAGGGTATTTCTCATTTTAATTTCCTTCCAAACAGCAATAAACTCAATATTTAGTACAAAATCAACTTTGAATAAAAATTTGGCTCAAAGAATTGAAACCCAGCTTCTAAAATACCAATTTTACTAAAACCCCAAATTTTGAGCAATCTTCTTTTATTTTTTTTTATCACAGAATTTTTGACGGAGTTCTCAAATTTTCACCAAATTTGAGATAAAAGCTTTAAACTACACTAAATTTAAACATCAAACATAAATTAGATCAAAACATAATGAATTCATAAAAACTCATTTGTGTATTTTGTATGTTTTTCTAAAAATCCTTGAATGGTAAATCTAGAGACAGAGAAGTTTTATGCCATGGAGGAGAGAGAATCATGCACACCTTTTGTGGTAGAGAACAATAGTATACTTGGTCGAACAATTCCTTCGCTGGATGTGGGTTTGAAGAAGGCTTCAATTCGCTGAGGAGGGTTTTATCGCATGAATATCGAGAAAGTCAGAAAGGAATAAGAAGACCCTGTTTTGATATGTATACTTTAATTTTATGTATTACTTTTTAATTATAAAAATGATAGCATTCGCGGGCTTAGTGAAATATTGGAGGGAAACTAAATTGTCCCAATAATATTTTTTAGAAAGAACCGTCCCCACAGAGTTATTTTACCAATCTGTCTCCATAGATATCTCTGTGGCAATGGTTATTGTACTACTGTGACGGTTTCATTTTAGTACTGTCTTACTAGGCCTAAGAGGCTATTGCGACAATTGTAACCGTTGAAATAGACCATCTATTGCAAGGGTTACATAACCGTTGCTAAATAACCGATGCAATAGGTGTAATTTCTAGTAGTGTAGCTGTGACATAAATGCATAACAATGCTCTCTTTCCCCTTTGAAGTTCTTCGCTTGCTGGGCCATTTCATTTTCATGGGTATTGAACTTTTTCTTCAGACCTGTGACTCCTTTGTCATACCTTTCCTTCAACTACTGAATGAACCTCGCACGTTCTTCTACATTCCAAGCCAACTTTACCCCAGGCTTTTGCTAATTCACACTCAGCCTTTTCCAAGTCAGCCCCATAATCACACATTTTTCGTCTAAGGCCGTGAATGAGTTTTTCATATTTTCCGCTTCTGGCCGGGTTTTCAGTTGCTATTTTCATCTTTTTGATTTGGGCTCGGAGGGCTTCATTTTATTGGTCCAACCTTCTCCTTTCACCTTCAGCTTCTTGCGCATGTAGATCATTATTGAATTCAACGTTTCTCAATTTTTCTTCCAGGGTGTGAATGGCGGATTGATATTTCTTCTCCTTTTCCCCTAGGCCAACCTTTCTCGAACTTTATCATCAAAAGCCTGAACATGAGGTCTCTTGGCGAGCCTCTCGGGCTGGGGCTCGGGCTCTGGCTCATTATTTGCAGATATCGGCAACCATTCCAATCTTGTTGGACTAAAGCCTCGAGTAATGTTGCTTCTAGGTGTAGCTCAATGACTTGGGTACTCAAATCTGCATCTTCGGGTACCACTTGGTATCTTCCCAGATGCCTTAAAACTCTTTGCGGTGCATATGGTTGGACACTTCTTAGACCCATCAACAATAGGTAGCCTTTTGTAGCAGTCATGTGTATGACTTCCATTACCGGAAGCCATCCTAGAGTCCATTCAATCTGACTTGCTTCTAGATTTCTTAAGTGGGAGACCCAGGCTTCAAACCCTTCTGGAGAATTATAGTCTTTCACCCTTTCCTCATAAATCTTGATGAAATTGTCATTGCTCGAGCCATAACTCATGAATTTTGGGGTGATTGTGGAGATGCTCAATCAACCACATTTGCAGAAGAATGTTACAACCTTTAAAGAATTGAGCCCCGGATTTATACAATGTTAATGCTCGATAAATATCTGTCAGCACTAATAGAGTAAGTGTATGATCTTTTTTAGTAATGAGGATTTGTGCAATTCCATCCATGCAGATATCTATTGTCCCTTCTGCATTCGGAAAGACTATAATTCCCAAAAACGCCACTATGAAAGCGAACTAATGATGAATTTGCCAGATGCTCTTATCTTGTTTGTTGTTTAATCCCTTTTCGTGCGTTTCGAACCCAACTGAGTCCCAAAACCTAAAATACAAGAAGTAGAAGGAACAACATCCTCTGTTTACATGGGCCTTCTTCATTTGCTTGCTGATATTCAGGAGATCAAAGAATTTGTGTACATGGGGAGCCCTTGGGAATATAAGTTGTTGTTTTCTCAAGGCCTGCCAAGGTCAATATATCCGCCTATCTTCTCCAGAGTAGGGGTGGGCTCAAAATCCAAGAAACGGAAAACGTTGTGGAAAAGATCCCAAAAAGTTACAAAAGCCTTGATTAGATCATCCCGAGGTTTGATTTCCATAATGTCTATAAGGCACCCAAATGCTCTTTTACCCAATCCCGACCATCTTCATCTAGATCATTTCACCACATATGAAGCTGCAGCTGAGCCTGTTCTATGACCAATTGTGACGGGTTCTGGACAGTGTTCATTTGTACCTGTGGATGGTTAAGGTTAGGGTTGACTTTGGTGGACTCTTTTGTGAAACAAGTTTTAAATTTCAAAAATAGAAAATCAACAGAGAATGGCCCCCTTGCTATTTTAACACAAGTAGTAGTTTTTGTAAACATGGTCATTTCACAATTCCAAATAAATTTTGAGGCGGGGGAACGTACTTTATGAAAAAATGACACTTTATTGACAAAGTTGCCTGTTCTTTACGAAAATATCCCTTCGACAATTAAAAGATACTCTAAGGCTATTCCGGCAAGAACGACATAAGACATAACTGATGCTGGATCGACTTATTCTTTTGACCAGAGCCCTAAACTACACTTTATTTGGTTAGTTTTTGCAAAAAAATGAGGCCGAACCTTATGTAGGTTGCCTACGTGTCCCACATCCGGTGAGAATCAGACCTGCATAGTTCGGTCAATTTTGACAAAATCAGAAGAGACATGTGATTAATTTTGAAATGACTCTTTTTCCTTTTCTCTGTTTTTTCAATTTTTTTTTGAAAACAAATTGGCAGAGTTTCAGGACATTTTCAAATAGCAGGATTTTCATAACCAGATTTTATTTCCTTCCTACATCACTCTTGGTTTTTTCTCTTGATTTTATTTTCCTATCCAGTCAACATGCAAGCCGAAACAAATAAATGTTCACATAGCACGTAGGATGCATCAGGATGGTCTGTTATTTTGGGTACACCTATCCTAGACAGACTCAACCCCTGTGTTGAGTCCCCAAGGTCAAATGCACGTAATGCAAACAACCGTTCCTACTAGGGATCCGGCATGAGGTTATGTTATTCTAGGTTTAAACCTGGGGTTGTGTTCTAGAGCTGGCCTACCCGAGCGGACAACTCGAGCCGAGGTGGGGGAAATGTACCGGGAGCACGAAAGTCTACTCGTCCTTCTTGCTGACCCAGGCTCATTCTATTTGGTATGACTTCTAACAGAAAAGTGGGCCATGCATATGTGTGCACCATATTTTAGAAGACTCAGAAGGGAGGCATAAGAAAACAGTTTAGTACAGTTCAAGTAATATCAAAGCAGAAAATAAACGCCAATTGGCACATTAGTTCCACAAAATAAAGTAATATCAACAAT